CCTCTGTTGTGATCCCTGTCAGAGCAGTCAGTGATGGTAGCCAGGTACCATGTAGTTGTACTGGACTCAGTCTGGTGGAGGCTGTGGTAGTTGTGGTTGATTAGTCCTTTGGACTGATCTTTTCCTTGTATCTTGTTTTCTTCATTCTCCCTTGCTCCCAACAAGGTGAGACCAGTGGAGTATCTTAGATGGCTGCTCACAGGTTTTTAAGACCCCAGATGCTACTCACCAAGGTAGAATGTAGAAAATTTTCTTGATAAACTGTGGGAACGGAATTTTTAATTTTATTAAATTTTAATAAAACACTGAAGCAGTGTAAAATATTTTTCCATTAAACACAATTGTGTTGTTTTGGTAGGACTTCATTTTACTTTAATGGTTGAAACTTCAGCATCTGGATTGAGATGTGCTGTAAGTATAAAATACACAGCAGATTCTGAAGACTTAGTATTAAAAAAAGAATGTAAAACAGCTCAGTAATTTTTTTTATACTGGTATCACATTGAAATGACAATATTTTGATTATGTTGGATAAATAAAATATTATTAGAATTAATTTCACCCATTTTTTAAAACTTTTAATGTGGCTACTTAAAAATTAAAATTACGTATGTAGTTCACATTTTATTTCTGTTGGACAGTGCTGCTTTAGACAAGTTATTAAGGGAAATGAACTTAATATTCTGATTGTTTCAGTGAATTTTGGTTGTCATTTAAACATAATGTGCAAGTGAGTTTAAAAGATTATAATTCTGGGTCTTTCCCTAAAAGGAGCTATTTGGGAAGAAAAGACACATGCACTTCAAAAATATAAAAGAGTGTGTAAGACAAGAAGTGCCACTCTAGTGGTACAGACAAATGCAGTATGCAGAAATGAATGGAAAATTTGCTAGCTGAGATAGTAATAGCTTCTTAGGTGGTGAGATTTCATTGAACCTTGAAGGTAGAGTTAAACGTTTTTGCTAGTTGGCTGTCAAGTTGGCTCCAACTCATGGCGACCTTATGTATAACTGAAGAAAACCTTGCCCCATCCTGTACCATCTTCATGATCCTTGGTTTGTTTGAAGCGTTGTGGCTGTTGTGTCAATCCATTTCATTGAGGGTTTCCCTCATTTTTGTTGGCCCTCTACCAAACATGATGTCTTTTTCTAGCAGTTGGTCTTTCCTGATGATGTATTCAAAGTAATTGAGCAAAAGTCTCACTATCCTCCCTTTTAAGGAACATTCTGGTTGTATTTCTTCTAAGACTGATTTGTTCATTCTGGCATTCCATGGTATGTTCAGTATTCTTTGCTGACACCACAGTTTCAACACCTCAATTCTTCTGTCTTCCTTTTTCGTTTTCCAACTTTTGCATGCATATGAGGCAATTGAAAAGACCATGGCTTGGGTCGGATGCACCTTAGTAATCAAAGTAATATCTTTGCTTTTTAAAACTTTAAAGAGTTTTGAGTTAGAGAGGGACTAAGAAGGGGCTGAGGGAACAGCATGAGCAGAAGTGTGAGGGTAGTAAAACACAAAGGTGTGTTGTAGGGCAGAGTGGGGCAGAGTAAGTGGATTGGTCTTGCCAAGAATGTGTTCTAACAAAATTGTATCACTAGAATACGTAGCTTGGTATAGCCCTAGGCCCAGAATCCACCACCTGTCTGTCAGTTTGTCCTACTGTGGTGGCTTTCGTGTTGCTGTGATGCTGGAAGCTATGCCACTGATATTTCAAATACCAGCAAGGTCACCCATACTTTATAGGTTTCAGTGAAGCTTCCAGACTGAGATAGACTTAGGAAGAAAGGCCTGGAGATCTGCTTCCAAAAATTAGCCAACTATATCAGAATATTGTCTGATATAGTGCTAGAAGATGAGCCCCCTAGGTCTGAAGGCACTCAAAGTACACAGTGGCTGCAACAATGGACTCAAGAATACTGATGATCGTGAAGGTGGTGCGGGTCCAGGCAACTTTTGGTTCGGTTGTACATGGGGTCACCGAGAATCAGAGCCAACTTCACACAACTAACAGGCCCAGAATAGAAGACCAAGAGACTTACCCATCCTTAATGAAATTTTAATCCGAAGGGTCTTTTGAAATCAGTGTGTTCAAACTTCCACCTAATAAGGAATCTCCTCTTTAATATCCAGCCTCTGCTTGAATACTTCCAGAGACGGGTTGTTTGCTTGTTCTAAGAGGCAGGTTGCATCTCCATTTTTTGGACAGTTTTGTTAGACTGTATTAAAAGGAAGAATTATCTGCTTCCATATTTCTTCAACTATTGGCGCTAGCTCTACCCTATGGTTCTGCTCTCTTTCATGTTACCACTCTCCACATATTTGAAGATGGTAATCATGTCCATTTTCAGTCTTGTCTTCTTGCTAAATACCCCAGGTAATTCAGGCATTTCTTTTATGATGCTCCCAGGCCTCTCCCCATCTTGGTCACTCTTAAGAAGTATTTAAAATGTTTCAAATACTCTACAAGTAATCTGAACAGCAGGTTGCAGTGGGACTGTTAACTTGCTTTTATTTTAACACTGGCCTTGAAAGCACCGTGTAACTCTTGTTAGGTTTCTTAGCAGAAGCAGGCTCCTTATTGAGTTTGTGTTACCTAAAAACTTCAGGTCTTTTTCATGTGAACTGTTGAGACACACTTTCCCCCTATTTTATACTTTTACATATGGGTTGTTTTAGCTTGATGACTCTTAATAAAGTTTGTAGTATAGCACATTTATCATCATTTTTATTGATTTCAGCCCATCCTCACACTCAACTGAGAATTCAAAATGTTTATTTATCATATATATCTTACATGCTAACTCTCCCAGCTTTGAGTTATCTATAGATTTGGCTGTCATATCATGTCTTTGACAGATTCATCCAAATGGTTCATTTAAAAAGTTTATAGGGCTCTTTGCAGGCTAGCGTTCATCCATAATGTTTGAGAGTGATATTCAGCAACAAACTGTTTTGTCGTCAAGCTTCTTGCTACTGAAAGTGTGATTCTAGGGAGGCTAGTTAAAGATACAGAATTTCAGGCTAGTTAAAGATGCAGAATTTCAGGCCTCACCCTAGACCTATTAAATCAGAATCTGTACTTTAACAAGATTCCAAGGTGATTTGTGTGTACACTGAAGTATGAGAAGCACTGATCTAACCCACATTTCTCCATAACCCAGGGAGGAGAAACTTTGTTAGATCCTGTGAAGAAACCAAACAGTATTATCCTGATGTATCTATCGCAGAGGTTCTCAACCCCAGCTACACAATAGAATTTACCTGTGGAGTTTTAGAAATATCAGTGTCTGGCCAACCCCAGAGAAAGCTCCCCAGGTAATTCTAATGTGCAAGCGAAGGTTGAGAACCACTCCTATGTAAAGCAAATGAGGGCTTGAACCCTGCCTCTGGTGTGCATATTTTCTTCTGCATGTTTGCAGTATATCTGATAACCTATTGTAGAATTGTCCCTAGGTCAGATTTTGCTGCTCTGGAGTTTCTGGGATCCACTTTTTTTGAAAATTGGGTTATATTTTACATCTTGTCTTTTAGCGTCTCTCCTATTCACTGTGATTTCTCAAAGATTATCATTAGAGGTTTTGCAGTCTTGGCTCTTCTCTCTTTGAAAAGTTTATTTTTTCTACTTTTTCCAGTTGGAAGATGATTCTCCTGTTATTGAATGAAGTAGAAAAAAAATAGAAGTCGAGTGCCTCTACCTTCCATCTTCTGTTAATAGTTAACCTCCCTAACTCTTTTCTTAATATATACCACTCTTGTAACTGCCCTTGGTATGTGAGTTTTCTATTATCTTTGGTTCGTGTCGAATCTTCAAATGTTTCAACTCAAAACATTTTTTACTTCTTTGATTTATGTTTTTAGAGCCTTCAATCACACTAAGTTGTGCTTTTGTTTATAAATTATTTTCAGAACTACTTACTGATCCTTCACAAGTGGACTTTTTCCTAACTTTTGTATTATTAGTGTTCAAAATATTAACTAAAAAACAGCGAAATGTTACTGGTAGTTTTCTTTGGCTTGAGGAATGATGGCTGTGCAGTCATCCCTTGGTATCCAGGGGGAATTGGTTCCAGGACCCCCCGCAGATGCTCATCCCTTATATACAGTGACGTACTATTTGTATATAACCTATGTATATACTTTAAATCATCTCTAGATTACTTATATTACCTAATACAATGTAAATGTTATGTAAATAGTCAGTGTACTGTATTGTTTAGGGAATAATGACAAGAGAGAAATCCCCCCCCCCCCGGAATATTTTCTGTTTGTGGTTGGTTGAATCTTCAGATGCAGATCCCACGATACAGAGGGCTGACTGTGGTTTCTTTTTCCTTTCTGCTTTACTGTATTTTTAAAAGAATTTTTATTAGGGTAAATATATATATATATATATATATATATATATATAACAAAATATTTGACATTTCAACCATTTCTACATGTAAAATCCAGTGGCACCATGTTGTGCAGCCATCATCACTCACTCCATTTTATTTGCATCACTCTTAACACACACTCAGTACCCCATAAGCAACAACTCCCCATTTTCCCCTCCCACCTGCCTGCTCCTGGTAACTACTAATAAACTTCGGTGTATGTGTACTTGCTTATTCTAGATATTTCATATAAGTGGGAAATTATAATATTTGTCTTTTGTGTCTGACTTATTTCACTCAGCATGGTTTTAAGGTTCCTGCATGTCACAGCATGTATCAAAACTTCATTTCTCTTTATGGCCGAATAGTATTCCATTGTATGGATCAACCACATTTTGTCTATCCATTCATCTGTTGATAGACACTTGTTTCTTCTACCTTTTGGCTGTTGTGTTCTGTATTTTTTTTTAATTACCTGTTTACCCTTGCTAAATTTTGAACTTGAGGTTCACACAGAAAAATTTGATTTCCTTTTGTCTTTTTTAAATGCCTGATCCATAAAACTTTTAAGAGAATGTTTTATTTAAGCTGCTGATTTCCAGTCTTCTCAAAGTTTCCAGTTATTATAAAAACAACATATTTCAGAAATTTCTGTAAGTTAGACTTAGAAAATTAAAGAGTCTTAGTTATGATATTGGGTGGAGTCCTTTGGTGGCACAGTTAACTCTTTACTGCTAACTCAAAAGGTTGGAGGTTTGAGTCCACCCAGAGGTACCTCGGAAGAAAGACCTAGTAATCTACTCAGAAAAGTCAACCAATCAACTGTTGAAAACCCTGTGGAGTACAGTTCTACTCTGACACCCATGGGGTTGCTATGAGTCAGAAGTGACTCAGCAGCAACTGGTTTCTTTTCTTTTTTTTTTTTTTTTATGAGAGTAGGAAACTTTGTCCAAATATGTTACAGTCTCCTCCTTTTCCTTTTCTTGATGTGGTCACCCTATTAGTTTAAACAATGATAGAATAGTTCTAAGAATGATGATGTAAGGAGAACAGAATAGAGATCTAGGTGTGCCCATGTCTAGACTAAAATTTGTTTAGACTTAGCAGGAAGGCAGAGTTTGGCAAGATAGGCTTCTTTGTTTTTTATATCTGGAAGAGGGTTTTTTATTTTCTCTTTAGTATTGACTTGTGAGCCTTCTGGTACTTGATGTGTTGGGGGTGGGGGGAGTTAGATCCTAGCATCAATCTAGACTATCTCTGTTCCATAAATCACATTTTCATATGTTCATAGAATTAAGTTTATGTTGATGTGAACTTAAAGCGAATCAGTGGGAAATGAAAGGATTAGCGAATGAAATTTTCTTTGGAGTCTTTCCGTATTTTAGATTCTTTACCATTGCTTTTTATTTATGTAATTAATTGCAAATGTATGGAAACCTACCAGTATTATAATTTCCTTAAAGCCATACAAATAGTGAATGATAATTAAGAATTTTTGGCTAGTTTTATGTATTATCTAAAGCAAGTGTTGGCAAACTTTCTGTAAAAGGCCAGATAGTAAATATTTTAGGGTTTTTTTGTGGGCCAAAAGGCATAATTGAGAGTATTATATAAAAAGAGAGAAACCAAATTTCACCAAGTTTCTGTTAACAAAATTCAAACTATAATAATAATTGAGTACATTGTTTTTTAATATATGTCAACTAGTGAGAAGAATGGCATTCTTTTTTTGAGGGGATAACATTTCGCTTAATTGGAGTTCCAAGTTAGTGCTCCTTATCAAAATCTTTTGCAAGTGTTCATCTATTAATGCTGAATTGAAATGAAATTTTACATATTTCATCTTTGAAAGTACCTTTTCACACGTACAGGTACTGCCAGATACTAGTATCAGTCCATAAGCATATGCTTTTAATGAAACATATTCATTCCTTAGAAGGCATTTATAGAATTCTGTTAGATTGTTTTCTTGATATTTGCCTTTTAGCATATCATTACATTGCAGAGTTATCATTTTCAATTGAAGGTTAGGTAGAAGCTCCTCAGTTGCACAGTTAAATTACTTTTGAAATATGGAATTCGCCTTTGCATTGCATTGAGTTTCAAAAAATACTGCTTTGACTGTAGCTTGAGCTCGGAAAACATTTCTGCTGCAAATTATGTGAGAATGGAGATCTTATTTCTTTGACAGCACGAGAAATGTACAAAGCAGTTTGACATTACTTACGATTACATTTTTAGTTATTGTTGAAATTACTTTACCGCAGTATAAGTTTAACATACATAAGCACTGTTTTGCCTTGTAATTTTAGGCTGAATACATTAGGAAACAGTATCAAGTCTGCAGCAAAAGCTAATTTCCCAAGCCATTCAGTGTTTAATAATAGTAATTGAGGTCAGTTCATTTGGGAAAAAATTCAGCTTTGGCCCTGAGCACCAAAAAATCAAAATAAAACTACCGCTGATAAGCCATGAAACTGCTGTGTGGTAGGGCAAATCAGGATATTCAGCTTATATTTTGACAGAAATTCACAGAACTGATGATGGTTAAGTCTACAGAGTGAGTGGTTACTGGTTCAATAACATGATAGATTAAATATTTTCTGCAAAGTACCTGCTGATGAATATGATAGTGAATAACCGTAGACTTCAAACACCTTAACATTTTCACGATCTGTATAAATTTGTCTTTTTCTGCTCCATACATTTTTACCACCATCTGAGTTGTAACACATCTTCGCAGATACCACTTCAGGTTGTACTGAATTACTGTTCCCTCAACTTTGAAAATGTTCTCACCTCAGGTTGTTCTAGGCAGACTGCTCATAGAGCCTAACTTCAGTTACTTCAAACTCCTTGAATAAAAAAAACAACTGAACGGTATTGGTAGCATTGTTGACTTATCAAAAACCAAGAAAAACCACTCAAAATAATTTGCCTTGTCTTCAGTTGATTATTGATGTTGCTCCCAATATCCTCAACTTTTTGAGCAACTGTACTCACTGAAAGGCTAATCTTAAATGTATTTTTTCTGAACACATTTCTTCAGTTGCTGTGATCAAACACAGTTTAACTCACCATGGTTAAATGGCTTTCCTTGCTTAGCTAACAAAAGCCACTTGGAAACTTAAATTTGGTTGAAGCCTTGTTGTCATTATTTTTAGAAAGAAATATTTTGTAATGAGCTGTTTCATTTTAAATTTTCTAATTTTTCAGACTGTAGCTGTCCTATGAGTTGGGAATATTGTCATGAGTGCTTAGTCTGGTGATGTCAATGTATATTTATTACTTTAGCACAGTCACAGTGTCATTGCAAAATAAACACAATTCTTTGCCATGTGATATGATAAAAATAAACCACACTTCACTGTACCTTTAAGTATGACATTCAAAGTCCACTTTCCTTTTGACATGATGAGTATGTACTGGTAGTAAAATGTCACAGTATGGTGATACTTACGGCACTCAACGCTGTCAAGTTATAACTGCATCACTGCAGTTTATCATGCACAGATCAGAGGTGCAAAGCAATGAGAGTGCTGCATGCAGTGTCTGTTGCAACTACTCAGCTCTGCCATTGTAGCACAAAAGTAGACACAGATGATATGTAAATGAATGTGTGACTGCATTGAAATGAAACTATGGACACTTAAATTTGAATTTCATATAATTTTCACATGTTGTAAAATATTTTTTAACCCTTTAAAATTATGAAAAACATTCTTAGATTGGAAGCAGAATAAAAGTAGGGATGGATTTGGTCTGAGATATAGTTTGCCTACCCTGGCCTGGCCTTTTCCCAGTATTTAACAGTGCTTTTTCAAGAGTTTTTCTGTCATGAAATTTCATTCGTTTGAGGTCTTAAAATCCACATCTTGACCTGCTTTCTGGGTTTTCACATAATTAAATCTGTTACGTAGAATGCATACTGACTATTCTGTTTTCAAGATTGGTGGTCTCCTTTCTCCTTTTAGATAATTTTCCACTTGTTCATCAAGATGGAAAACTCAGATTCCAATGATAAAGGAAGTGGTGATCAGTCTGCAGCACAGCGCAGAAGTCAGATGGACCGATTGGATCGGGAAGAAGCTTTCTATCAATTTGTAAATAACCTGAGTGAAGAAGATTATAGGCTTATGAGGGATAACAATTTGCTAGGCACCCCAGGTATGCTACATGTAATTTAAGGATTTATGTATGCAAATTAACTGACTTTAAAAAAAAATACTTGAACCTGTTTTAAAAATCTATTTCTTTAGCCATTATAAAATACAATTTTAGTACAAGGGATATGAAAGGATATTTACTGCTATACTTATTACCTAATTCTATTCGCTCATATTTGGGCTTATCCTGTACTGGAGAGATTTGTAAGTTACAAATTATATTACGAATTTTCATTGAATTAAATTGAAAAGACTAGAGCTGAACTTTTTGTTGGTGTTTGTTTTTACTTAACTAGACACGGGTCCAAGTGAGGGATAGCTAACGGGAACTTTACTTCCTAGACAGGCTTATTCTATTTTATGTCATTCCTGATTCCCTAAGTATGTCCAGGGCTAGGCTCTGGGAAAATTGTCAACTCTACAGAATTTTGTGCTTGGTATTCTCTTTTACTGCTTTAGGTCCCATGTGATCCCAGTTAAAACTCACTGACTTTTTTCCTCCTCATTTCTGTTTAATTCTACTAACCTTTGGGTGATTGCTTGAATTTTAAAAAGTAAGATTTAGCATGACCCTTATGAGAGGGAGTGCATTCTGAGAAGTTAGTCTCAGTTTACTCAGTTTGAAATGCAGATAACAATGTCTACCCAGAATTACATCTTTTTAAAATTAGATATTGTATGCAAAAGCGCTTTGTCAGCTGGAAAGAAACTTGTACAAAAGTTGTAATATTACATTCCTAAAGAAGTGAATTTTACCCAAGTTGCTACTCCTTGGTTTTCACCTAAGAGAGGGTTAAGAGTTGCTGGGTTTCATTTGTAATTTGGCAAACATTTTTAAACTGCTTTCAGGTGAAAGTACTGAGGAAGAGTTGCTGAGAAGACTACAACAAATTAAAGAGGGACCACCACCACAAAACTCAGATGAAAATAGAGGTATAGTTTGGTTTTGGAGGATAGAGGATGGGATGGATAAGGAACTTTATAATAGTAAACATCAGATATGGCACAAATTAAGTAACTTTTAATAAAAAACAGTTTACTTGATATTTGGTGAGAATGTCAATATGTTTTTGTTTCACTTCACCTTTGAGTTGTTTGTATTGAGATGTAGTGAGAAATAGCCTATTTAAATGTGATTTTTTTTGTTTGTTTTTTTTTGTTTTTCACCTCTTCCTAAGTTTCCTCCTCCTTACTGAATTATTCCTTTAATATAGACGTGTGACTTTCTCACCATCAAAAAGAAAGGCTGCTTACTGTAACCCAGTGGTTCCCAATGGGTTACAACTTTGTCCCCTAGGGGAAATTTGGCAATGTCTGGAGACATTTTTGGTTGACACAACTGGAGGGGTGCTATTGGCATCTAGTGGGTAGAGCCCAGGGATGTTGCTAAACATCCTAACATCCTGTAATGCACAGCACAGTCCCCCAAAACAAAGAATTAACTGACTCAAAATGACAAGAGTGCTGCTGCTGAGAAATCCTGCTCTAGCCTCAGGTCTGGTATTTCCCTCCCAGTGAGAAGTAGGGAATTTGACTTTGTAACCTCAGAGGTTATGATTGATAACAGTTTTGTTCTTGAACATGCCATTACATATACTATGCTAGGTTCAGACTATTCATTTGGTCTGATCTTCAATTTCATGTCAATTTAAAATCTTGGTAGCATTAAAAAGTATTCAAATACTTTTAAACCTATAAACCTTGTTTATATTTTACAGTGGCTACAGCAGTCTTGTATTTTAAAACAGCCTTTTGTATTATCAAAGACACTTAAGTCAAGAGCCTAGAAGAAGTAATGTAGACTAATGAAAATTTGACAAAAAATTTGTAATTTGTACTAAAATACCAGCACTATACCTTAAGTGAACCCTGGTGACACAGTGGTTAAGAGCTCGGCTGCTAACCAAAAGGTCAGTGGTTCAAATCCACCAACTGCTCCTTGGAAACCGTATGGGACAGTTCTGCTCTGTCCTATAGGGTCGCTATGGGTCGGAACCAATTCAGCGGCAACAAGTATACCTTAAGTGCTGTTTACCTTGTTTGACTGCATTAATGTTTTGCTAGTGGACTAAAAAAATACTGTCTTCTAACAGTCCGACAGTGGTATGCTAGGCTCTGTATATGATGAAATACTGTAAATAGACTTCTTCTATGTTTTCTTTTAAAAAAAACAATTCTCTGACTTTCTCTAGGATTTGATAGCTCTTCAAATGGAATTGAAACTTTGCTGTCTTTACCTGCAAATCTATGGAGTGTACTTTACAAAAATCTGTAAACGTGAAATCTGTTCAGATACTTGTTCTTTTTTTTTTAATACAGAGTTTTACGATTGTCCTAATTTTGGTAGTTCCTTTTTCTCTCTCCCTCCTTTTTTTTTTTTTTAAACAGGTGGAGGCTCCTCAGATGATGTATCTAATGGTGACTCTATAATAGACTGGCTTAACTCTGTCAGACAAACTGGAAATACGACAAGAAGTGGGCAGAGAGGAAACCAATCTTGGAGAGCAGTGAGCCGGACTAATCCAAACAGTGGTGATTTCAGATTCAGTTTAGAGATAAATGTTAACCGTAATAATGGGAGCCAAAATCCAGAGAATGAAAATGAGCCATCTGCAAGACGGTCTAGTGGAGAAAATACGGAAAATAACAGCCAAGGGCAAGTGGAAAATCCACGATCTGAATCGACATCTGCAAGGCCATCTAGATTAGAACGGAATTCAACTGAAGCATTAACAGGAGAAGCCCCACCTACCAGAGGTCAGAGAAGAGCGAGAAGCAGAAGCCCAGACCATCGGAGAACCAGAGCGAGAGCTGAAAGAAGTAGGTCACCTTTGCATCCAATGAGTGAAATTTCACGAAGATCTCATCATAGTATCTCATCTCAGACTTTTGAACACCCTTTGGTAAATGAGACTGAGGGAAGTTCTAGAACCCGGCACCATGTGACATTGAGACAGCAAATAACTGGACCTGAGTTGCTCAGCAGGGGTCTTTTTGCAGCTTCTGGAACAAGAAATGCCTCTCAAGGAGCAGGTTCTTCAGACGCAACTGGCAATACTGAATCTACAGGATCAGGACAGAGACCTCCAACCATAGTCCTTGATCTTCAAGTAAGAAGAGTTCGTCCTGGAGAATATCGGCAGAGAGATAGCATAGCTAGCAGAACTCGGTCAAGGTCTCAGACACCAAACAACACCGTCACTTACGAAAGTGAACGAGGAGGTTTTAGGCGTACATTTTCACGTTCTGAGCGGGCCGGTGTGAGAACCTATGTCAGTACCATCAGAATTCCCATTCGTAGAATTTTAAATACTGGCTTAAGTGAAACTACATCTGTTGCCATTCAGACCATGTTAAGGCAGATAATGACAGGTTTTGGTGAGTTAAGCTACTTTATGTACAGTGATAGTGATTCAGAGCCTAGTGGCTCAGTCCCAAGTCGAAATATGGAAAGGTCAGAGTTACGGAATGGAAGAGGGAGTTCTGCTGGTAATAGCAGTTCTGGTTCCAGTTCTAGTTCCAGTTCCAGTCCTAGTTCCAGTTCCAGTGGTGAAAGTTCAGAATCTAGCTCAGAGATGTTTGAAAGCAGTAATGAAGGAAGCTCATCATCAGGCGCCAGGCGAGAGGGTCGACATAGGGCCCCAGTAACATTTGATGAAAGTGGCTCTTTGCCCTTCCTTAGTCTGGCTCAGTTTTTCCTCTTAAATGAGGAGGATGATGACCAACCTAGAGGACTCACCAAAGAACAAATTGACAACTTGGCAATGAGAAGTTTTGGTGAAAATGATGCATTAAAAACGTGTAGTGTTTGCATTACAGAATATACAGAAGGCAACAAACTTCGTAAACTACCTTGTTCCCATGAGTACCATGTCCACTGCATCGATCGCTGGTTATCTGAGAATTCTACCTGTCCTATATGTCGCAGAGCAGTCTTAGCTTCTGGTAACAGAGAAAGCGTTGTGTAATTAAGATCCGAACTCTCAGCTATATAGCTGGTGTAGTGATGGGCAAACAGGAATCACTTGCTTTATGTCCACTTTTTGAGTGGTGCTTAAATGTAAAGTAACAACCTGAATTGAGTCATTGCTTTCTGAATGAATTACTGTCCTTTCTCCAATTTCTGTTCCAGAATAAAAGGAAATATTTAAAAAGCAACGTTTTAGGGCCTACAAATCTGATTTCAGTATCAATTGAATCCATAGCATCTCTATTACTGATAATTTATCATATATACTTGTTTCTCCCTTGTTATGTTAAAAGACCTGCCTTAGCAATGGCTCCTATCTGTTTCATGTTGATCTTTAAAGTTTCCCACGCCATAGGAGAGAGGGGCGAAGGAAATTCCCAGTTTAGACTAAGTTACAGTACATGTTTCATAAGTAAGTACTTAAAGCTGTACTATTTCCAGTTATTAATTTGATGCAAATCCAGCTACATTATGAATATCATTTGTTCACCTTTCATTTTAGGTGATATTGGACATGTCAGTGTAAATAACACTAAGGTTAGGATCTTCTAAGTGTATAACTGTCTCCTAAGCCCATCACTTGTGGCACACTGTAGAGTGAGCTTTTAGTTTAATTGAGATATTTATCTTGTGGAAATATTAAAAAGCCTATGCTTGTGTAAGTGAAAAAAATCATGTTCATTTGTTTAAAAATGTAAAGCTATTTTGTAGAGGCTCAGTACTTTTTCCAATGCACTGTTGTATTAATGCATTAAAAATTGTAAAGTACCATGCTTAGAAATGAGAAAACTGCTTTTTGTGAGCCAGCATAGTAAAACACACATCAAACAAAGTACAAAGCTGCTTTTGTAAGTGTGTAGATGTCAAGAGCAGAACATATCTAATAATATTTAATGTATGTGAATAGTTAACTGTGACATGCAAAGGAAAGGACAGTGCAGAATTGAACTGCATTAAAAACCAATGGAAATTGTGTATTTTAACTTGGATTTAGGCAGGAAATGAAAGATGGAAAGAGTAAAGAAATCTGCTCTGAAAAATTTAAACTGAGATCAGCAGACGTTTGACAAAGTATTCTACTTGAGTAGGTGAAGTAGAAGATTGACAAATTTGGCAAAGTTTTGTTTTAAGAAAAACCACTATCACCTAGCACAAGTTAAATTGATATTTTTTACAAGTCTGTCTCAAAAAAATGAGATAAAAAGTGGGGGAAATAGACTATAAACCACTTTTAGCGTAAGAATTGAAGTTGGTACAGATGTGTGTGCTAACAGGCAAATCTCAAATTTGTAGTTTTCGAGGTTTATCATTTAAGGTACCAATGCACACTTGTTGATTTTTAAAGACCAGATGAAGGATTGAGGGATTTTGATCACTCTCTGTTGAAAGTGAGTCAGATTGTTTTATTTGAAATTCAAATTTTAATTGTGCTGTCCATATATGATGAGAGTGCTACTCACTGTATGGGACATGCACTTTATATTGTTTTCTTAGTAGTAAGAGTAGATTTGTGAAGAACCTCAAAACTCTTTGCCTAATTTCTCTTTTGAGTCTGGTTGGGATTAGAATTAGTCTGACTGTGGAGCAGATGTTTGTTTTTCTGGGGAGAAAACTAACAGGCCCAAAGGGATTGAACACGTCCTTGGCCTTTTAAGAAAGTGAGCTAACTAACCAGACATAGTCAAATACTCTGCAAAATAAACAAGTCTGCTTTAGAAATTATCTGGCTACCTTAAATGTTATCACTTCAGCTGTAAAGATTTTTTCAAAGCTCGTTCTTTTCTCTGGCTTTCAATCCTACCTAAGTATCAAGGAAATTAACTTGTAAATATGGTAGTTGTTTACTAAGGATATGTACTGCTCTTGCAAGGAAATAATGTCCAAACAAAGCTTTACTTATTTTTTTTAATATAAGCAGATTTCACTGTTTATGGCGCTTATGTAATACATTTTATCTTTTTAAAAAATTGTCCACGTAAAAGTCAGGATTCCTTTATATTTGTGAGCCTCCTTGTCTCCTTTCCTAAGGGTATAATCTACAGTTTTCAGATCTGCAGGGTAGTCCTGATTGGCTAAAAACAAATCATTTTCCTCTTGATAAAAAATGTTCCATTATTACAGAGGTGTTCATTTTAAATAGTTTATAAACAACTGCAGTACATTCTAAGCATAAAAGAAAGTTATTGACAACAAGTACCTCCCTAACCTCCCAAGATGTATTAATCATTTGTGAAGTATTAAAGTAAGAGGTAACTCATGCATTAAAGTAAGAGGTAACTCATGCAGAATGTTGGTTATGAATGTACATATTGAAGTTATTCATAAACGCTGGAAATAGAATTCTAAGTTTATAGCTTTCAGTAGAATGCACATATTTGACATGTGCATGTGGGCACCTTTTAGCACTCATTAATTTCCATTGGATTGTGTAGAATGAATACAAGTGTTTTAGTGGAATTTGCTACTTAATTTTTTTTATTTTGCGAAGTCCATGACTAATATATACTTACTAGGGTTGTAGACCTTGAAGACAAGGCCATTTGTAGGTGACAAATGTACAACGAAGAACAGAAATCTTTTTTCCCACCAGCATCCAAACACCTGTTGAGGGAGCATTTTCTTGCAAAAGACTTTACATTTCATTTTGTACCTTTGCACTTTTTCTTTATTATAGAAAGGTTCTGTCTTTGAGACTTAGTTTGAACTTCATGCAATAATAATAAGAAAAAACAATGTTAGGAGATTACATTGTAAAGCATAGGGAAAAGTACTAAAAACTGAATTTCCTTGAATATTTCAGATATTTTCAAAAATTTACTAGTCTGAAATGTTTGAAGTGTTTTGTTGTTTAACTCCAAGCTGTTGACAAGATTGAGATTTATTAGTACTAGAAACAAAATTGAACAAGTTAGGTTCAAAGTCTGCAGACCTATTTGTAGCAACACAAGAAAATGAGCCATGTTGTTAATTTGGAATATTTGCTCTAAAAAGAACACATTAGTTATACCTCGTTGGTGTTATTGGAGGTTGGGATTGAGAGAAAAGTGTTCATATTAGTGTTGGAGTGTAGGGTAATAATTGTACAGTTAACAAACGTTTAGCGTGTGTGTGTATATATGTGTATGTGTATATATGTATGTATATATACATATACATATATATTTCTTTTAAAACATTATTGGAATTCATCCAGACTTTAAGATTAGGAAACTCATTAGCTATTAGTGTTACCTCAAGTAGTCGATTTTTATTTCCCACTGGGAAAACATGTCCTTTCCATACCAGGTATTCCCTACTGTAGTGTCAGTGTCTCAAATTATATTTATGAAGGGTTATCACTTAATATGCTGTGTATTTAACCACCTGCTTCCCAAATGTCCATGACATGAAGTGGGTCAGGCATTAGCCATGACTTTCAGTCATTTACCAAAATACCCATGTGATAGGGAGGTGAATGTTGCGAAATGCCTCTTAAAGGGCCGTTTTTAACAGCTTGCTAGAATAGAGTGGCACCTTGTGGTTGTTATTGATACTTTTAAAGACTGAGGATGTATTCCCCCCCCCCCCACTTTTTCTCCTTTGTTCTTTTGTGAACAAAAAAATTCATAATCTGCCTTATTTTTTAAGTTTTACCTTAACTGGCTTCCCTGTCAAATGTATTACCAATACTAAGTACATAGAAGCCACGTTTGCAGGGCACTTTTATTCTTTCCTTGTCTTGTAAGACTGTGCTGATTGCTACTTTCTGAAGTATTCTGTACCTTAGTAATGAAAGAGATTGATAAGGCACACATTAAAGTGTCAGGTTTTTTTTTTTTAATAGTGTAATTCTTCAGTATGTTTAATATTCAATTACAGTGTGTAATTCATTGAGTTAACTAGTAAATTGTGTGCTTTTGAAAAAAACACTTGAAAAAGTAAATCAACATAACATGCTTCATTTGGAAAGTTAAAGTGCAAGGTCCAAGGAACCAGTGTTTCATTTATTTTTAAGTCAGATTTTTTTATAAGCAACTAAAAAGCTGTGGGTTTGGTGCCTGCCCTTTAACCATTCTTAACTGGAATATTTCTAAAATATTATCTAATTTTCCCAAAAAGTGATCTCACTTGATTTAAGTAACCCCACTTTGAATCTATAAGTCTGCAGCATGGACTAGAGCTGTTATTGAGGTGTTAGAACTCTCAAAGGATAATAACAGAACAGTTTATATCAGTTTTATGATTTTTTTTCCATGTCTACGTAGGTGTTTTCATTCAGTTCTGAAGGAAAAAGGCATATCCTCCAACACCCTCAAGTAAAATTCCAGTGAGATATTTGGTTTTGATTAGGGTTTGTTTAATAAAGACCCACAGCTGCTTTATTGTCACTTGGGTTAAGTGATAGATATCTCAAAGACATGCAGTGAAAGTTAACCCCGTCATACCACTGTACCTAGTTATTTCAAGGTTTCTGTCAGTTTCTCATCTTGAAGATTATTTCGGTTGCAAGGCATGGTTGACCCAGCTACCCAGCCTTAACTCTGTATTTAGTGCCCCTTTAACATTCTTTTAACAATTGATTTGTATGTGTTTTAACTATCCAGTGTTTGGATTTTACCTCTTGATAGCTTCATTTGTCCCTGGTGCTGCTTTTAAAGATGCAGGGCCATGTGATCAGGTATCAAGTTGAGTAGGTATGTGGTTGGCCTGGTTATGTATCTGTGCCTGTTTTATTTTCTCCCAGGAACAGCTACTTTGGTATAAATGTTTACTTGGATTCATATAAATAACTAGGCAGCAATCTTGGAAAGCTTTCTGAAGCCTAAAGTGATTTGGAGAACCTGAAGTGATTTGGAGGGAGAACAGTAACAAAGGCTGCGTTTATGTCTTTGAACATGAAGCACATAAATGTATGTTCTATAAAGACGAAAGTGATTGTTATACCAGGGCTTCCTGACCTCTGGGAGAGACTTTCCAAAAAGCAGAGAGGAGCACAAAGTGAAGTGAATTTGGTTGGCTTGCTTTATCTGGTTTCTCAGTTTCAATTTAAACCTGAACATAGTACCCTTCTCCAGTATCTATCCAGCAGACTCCCGGTTGGGAAGCCCTGTATTAAATTTTGAGAATGTACCCAGTTTTCTTTTTTTGTGCAGTGCTTTACACCTGCTAAAATTAATTTGTTTAATGCAAAACTAGACCTTGAAAGGTCAGTCATATTAAAGCTGGTTTGATTATTAATAGTTATCTTTTAGGAAGAAGCTTTTTCCCTCTGTAAGATGTCATACTGCAGATTTAAAATATAGACTATCAATAAAATGCATGAAGTGATCATTTGTGCTTGATCATCTCTCCTTGGGCTTTTCTTTTAAAAGGGGAATCTGATAAAGGTTCTGTTTCAAACCAATGTCAAATAGACTTGATTTTTAGAATCAAGTGGAATTACAGTTCAACCTTGATTTTGATTCCCCTCATTACTAAGACTGGGCAGGTACTGGCTTATGTGATATAACGTCCATTTTATCTGTGTTGTGTAGTTTAATGGCTTTCAGTGGTAATAAAAAATTAAACTATATTCCAATACAAGAATCCTGGAAAGATTTATGTAAATGCATTTTAAATAAGTGCATCTTTGCTGTTTCCTACATTCTCACCATTGCCCTGACCACTCCTTTGCTTGACCTCTATACAAAAACTTTGTAGGTATGCATGTGTAGTCATGAAGCTTCTGTCTTCCATCTCTACCTCCAACCTCATACACATGTTCCCTAAGCCACTAAGAAGTCCTTGTTTCTTAATGGATCATCACATTCTGATACCTAGATGAAACTTCCCCTTGGTGTTGGTATTCATTTAAGCAGGTGGTGAATTTTATTATAGTTTCGTTTCCCTTGGTGCCTGTGTAGCTCTGTCATTGGCATCGGAACTCAGTTCTCATGATAGTTTTAATGTGGTCAACTCATGACCTTCCCAGGGTTTTAATTTTAGTGTATTTCCTGATTCTCCTCTTTGAAACTCAAGAACACCACTGAAAAGTTAACATTCTAGACAACAAAGTAAACCAATGCACAGGCTTTTTTTGTTTGTTTTTCTTTTTTTTGAAAGGAAGTGCAAAGGACTTAGATCCCTAGAACAGAAGCTTTAATAAATCAAGGTGGATTATAAACTGGACTCTTAATGGTCACTAAAAAATATGAAATGAAAGCTAAGCTTTGGGCCCGGTTTTGTTGAGGTCTTTGAATTCAGGCAAGATTTAAACCTAACACCTTGGAAATGGATTACTACTAGCTATATTAAAAATAGCTAAAATGTACTCATTGCTAACAGACATTGTACTAACCATTCTATATAAATTAATCCTCAGTAACTGAGGTGTAAGCATTGTTAACCACCCTGTTTTACAGATGATGATGCTGAGATACAGATGTTTGATTTGCCCAGGGTCACATAGTAACGTGGCAGTGTATTTCCACCCAGGTTTCTGATTCCAGAGCTTATTTTCATTGTGCTGTGAATAAACACATTGGTTTTGGCTGCCTTGCCAAGGAAAAAGAGGGCCAATAATTTCTCAGAAAGAGCAAAGATTACATATCGTAAATTCAGTAAATCTCTTAGGGCATTACCAAATATACCTTAGCACTCTGAATAATGTGACCCTCCATCTTGGTAGGTTAAGTGTATCTTGTAATTAGCCCTAGTGCAAAAGGTATCAAGATGTTTCTGAAAGTTTGGAAGTAGGCTGAAGTAAAAGCTTGAGGATGATTTTAATAATGGACGGATCCCTGGCAGTGCAACGATTAAGTGCTCGGCTACTAACCAAAAAGTTAGCAGTTCGAACCCACCCAGTGGCTCCATGGGAAAAAAACCTGGCAATCTCCTCCTGTAAAGATTACAGTCTAAAGAACACTATGGGGCAGTTCTACTCTGTCATTTGAGGTCACTATGCATCGAAATCGACTCAATGGCACCTAACAATGACCATCTCAGCTCCTTATTACAAATATTGCTCTTGGCCTAAATTATGATTTGATTTGAAATATGAAATGACTAGTCATTGCGGCTGACTTTTTTTAAAAATTGCTTACAGTATATTTGGAACTTGTTTAAAATTGTTTTCAGAGAATAGCCTTATTCAGTGTGCTCCCTTTGTCACCCTTGAGGTGAATCTTGGCTGTTTTCCAAGAATTATTTTTTTCCCAGTGGAGATTTGCCTGCCTTAAGCATATTCAGAAGAATGTACCATGCATTCTAAAGGCAATCACAAACAAGGCATTTCAAAGAATATGTGTAGAATTTGTAAACAGCTGCCCAAGTGAGTGCTTTGAAGAGATTATCATGCCTCATTCAACATTTGAAGCACAGGGATATAATCCCCACCCACAAGGAGCAGGCATTTCAGTGAGGAGACATGTAAATAGATAAAATATTATAAAAACCTAAAGAGTTGTACATCCTATATCCATCCCATTCAAATATTTCGTAATCGTACTAGAGCTAGTGCAACATTTGAGGGGAGCAGTGAAAGATAATGGGTTGAACAAAGGCTCATCTGAATTAGAGTGTTCCCTCAGCTAATGTTTGTTGTGTTCCTTCTACATCCTAGGCATTGTGCTGGTCTGAGGTTTTTCTTCTGGTTTTGGCAGGATGGAGATCTGAAGTCTCCGAAATACTGAGTTTTTCAGTGAACAGTGTTGGTGACTGGTATCTACTTAATTTTTAAAGTCACAATCCATCTCCTATATGCACCAAATATTCTAGAACAACGCCATCAATAGAAAATATAATGCAAGCTACATGTACTTTTAAGTTTTCTAGCAGCCACATTACAAAAGGTAAAAAGATACAGGTCAAGTTAATTTTAATAATTTTATTTAACCAAATACACACAAGATATTATTTCAACATGTAATCTATATAAAAATTATTGAGATTTTTTTCATATTGAGTCTTCAAAGTCTGATATGTGTTTTATGCTTATACAGTACATCCCAATTTGGACTATTGCTCAATAACCACAGGTGGCTAATGGCTACCATGCTGGACAGTGCAGTTCTAGAGCAATATGGGAGAGAATGATTAAAGTGGATAGGATGCAAGTGGCAATGAGTTTCAAAAGTTCACCTGTTGATACGGATAGGCACGTCATATCTGCTCACCTACACTACCCCAGAACTAAGTAAGTATTCTTTTAATTATGTCTCAAAACTGTGTCCATAGACAAAAAATGTCTATCCAAGCTTACAAAACTATCTCCTCCCCTTCTTTTGAGGTTAAAAGAATACACTCCTTAACAAAGCTTGAAATCCAGCTGTTATGAATTAGCAAAAGACCTCACCTGGTAATGGTTGAGGATCCCATGATTAGAAGTTAGGGAAGCCCATCACAACTGCAGTGTTATGTAGCAGCCAATAGAAAGCAGTTGTCACATTTGTTGTTGCAGGAGTGAGCACCCAAAATTTTTACATGGAATCTTAGTTCAATTCCTAATAGATGTTAAAATAATACAAATAATTTCCAAGCAGTTTATCATCTGAAATAGCCACATTTGAATATTCCTGGCATTTGTTAGAAACAGCTCACCTAAATTAACAAAGTTTTTGTTGGTTAGATGGTTTAAATGATAATATGTATGTTTAAATGAGTTTCTTGGGGTGGAGGGGGGACAACTTCAGAATACAGGCCCCAATGAAAGCAAGTATTTCCTAACTCCCAAGTCTCTGGTGCCATTGCTGAAAGTGGGTGATTATGTTCTTGTTTTGTTTGGCAACATGGAGTGAAATCTTAATAGCCCTGTGAAGAAAGAGCCTTTGGAGTTGAGGTTTTTGGAAAAAGCTGATTCATTTGGCTTGGCTTGGCTTGTATTTTCTGTGTGAATGTAACAGCATTTTCTGTGGGCTTTTTATTTATAAGAATCTGAGAATTGATTTAGTAGTAAGAAGGTAAATGTTGGTTTCTAGATTGTGTGACTCAAACTTGTCTCCATCACATGAATCTGGCTGCTTACTTGAAAGAAGCCAAAAGAACACATCACCCAGCTTTTTTTTTTTTTAAACAGAATTTTGGGTGTAATCCTCTGGATTAAAGGTAAAAATTAAGAAAAAGTCATTTCTTCTTGCCTTGGCTCTACCCTTTCCTGGGAGAAGGAAAGGAATGGAACAATGTCTGAGGCTCCGTTAGCACAAAGGTACAGGTTTGTTTCTAAGAATGAGAAACCAACTCAGCAATTAGGCCCAAACTTTGCTCTATTGCTTTGATGAAAAATAAATTCTTTCCCCTGTTGATTAAGGTATCTTCTCCAGCATCTGGGTTAATCCATTTCTCTATATTTGAAGAGGAGTAGCACCCACATATTTAAACAGGAAAGTCACTCAGTCTAATCTGCTAAACAAATACATTCTAAGCTTCATTTTACTATTAAAAAAAATTGCCGTCGAGTCAGTTCCAACTCATAGTGAGTAGAACTGCCCCATGGGGTTTCCAAGGAGCGGCTGGTGGATTTGAACTGCTGACCTTATGGTTACCAGCCAAATGCTTAACCACTGTACCATCATGGCCCCCATTTTACTATAGGTGTTATTTAACAGCCCTTGTTCAGACATGGGCAGACTGGACCCTTCCTTCTTTAAGACTGAGGTCAAAACCACCCAGAAAAAAAAAAATGAAGATGGGAAGGGCCTTCTTGTTCTTTCCTTCTGTCTCATCCCAAGGTGTTCTTTCATTCCACACACACTATTGGTACATTTGATTTCAAACACCATATAAATTAACTGTACAGAATATATTAACTAGGCCTGGCTTAAGCCTTATTTCCTGTTCAGACATGCCAGTTTATAAACCTGAGCTTAGAAACTCAAGCCGGCTAGATTCCTGACTGCCTGACATCTTTGTGAATGACTGAAATATCTTCCCACAACTGTTCCAAACAGGTACTGTGGGACCCAGTATAAAGCATGCTGTGATTTACAGCACTCACCTCCTCCAGTCACCACCACTCCACACTGTCCCATGGAAAGGTTAACATGAGCTGCCAGTATGGACTGAAAGGGAGAGGAGAAGATGGAGAGATGCTTATAGATTGATGAATAGATCATATCCAAAAATGTGTTGAGTACTTGTTATTAGCCACCAGGCCAGGCTTCTTCACATTTGTCCTCTTAATTGATACTCGGGGGTAGTTGGATATTTTCATTTTATTAATGAAATAGAATCAGGGATTGACATGCTTCAGGTCCCACTGCTAGTATTGAGCTTTAAAAAAAATATTTATTGGAATTGATGTCCCAGGCACCATTCTAGGTTCAGGGGATACTGTGGTGAACAAGAAAAGGGGCCCTGCTTTCATGGAGTTTATATTCTGGTAGGGAGAGACGGACAATACACTTGTAAATACAAATTTAGATAGCGATTAAATGCTTGGAAGAAAATAAAACGGGGTGATGTGATTGTGACTGAAATGGGGTAGGGTGGTTGAAGAAGATCTTTCTGAGGAGGTGACACAAGCTGGAACCTGAATGAGTAGAAGGGGGCAGAGCATTCCAGCCCCAGGGAATGAGCTCAGTTTATTATTTGGAGGGAGGAAAAGGGGGAACATTGAAAGGGAAAAGCAGTAAGAGATGAGGCAGGGGCTAGTTCATGAGACTTCTATAGCCTGTGGAAGGGAGATGGGATTTTATTCTGAGACAAGAAGCTGTTGGAGAGTCTTCATCATGGGAGTGAAGTGTGCTGACTTAAATAACTGCTAAGCGGCAGAATCAGCTAGAACACAGATCTGACTCGGGTCACTGCATGTTCCATGGCACCACAGCAGAAGACACCCCCTTACCTTTCCTCTCTCCCTCCCTTACCTTTCTTCTCTGCTTTCCTTCCCAAAGTGGAAGTGCAGTACCTTGGAGATGGCTCTGCAGTGCTCTGAGTGTTTTGATTTCTCTTTCCAGGTTTCCTTAGGTTTTAAGAAACTTGATTTGTGAGGTTCATATAAACAGCAATGCAGCTCTTTGTGCCATTTTAGTCTAATTTGATTTGAATGATCTTTTCTGCCATCACAGAGAAAATCCTCAGGTAATGGGACCAAATGCCACAAATAAAATGGAACAATTTTCTCACCAATAACTGGACCAACATTGCTGTTTTTCTTTGCTAATACCTGTAGGGGGCAGGGTTGCCCACATAATGAACCAAAGGGATGGCTGAATTTTTAATTATTTAAAGAGCTCATTACACAAATCCTCCAAATTGGATGCTTCTTGATGATTTCTTTGCTTGTAAGTGATTTTACTGGTGAGTAAACTAAATTCAACAAACTCAGATGAATCTAGTAAGTTTAACATACACTTACAGATTAGCAACCACCCAATTCACCTGCATGCATCTGGTAAAGTCTGTACTCAAACCATTCTGAGAGAAAATTTGTAGCCTAAAAATGGGAGACTCTGGATTGAATGTTTCCAGTTATCTAGGGAATAGGGGCCCTAATCTCAGTGTCCAGGTTCCTAGTTCATCTTCTGAGTTTCAGATATAGGAGCAAAGGTTCAGGGGAAACTATGGGGCCAAAGGAAAGGCAGTTGTAGGCTATAGGATAGGAATCAGAGCAAGCTACATGGAAATTGGCTCCCTTTCTGCTCATTATAGTGCCATACATTGCTTCTCAAGTCTAGGTAGGTAGGTCTATGTTGCAGTCCTACCTCATCTGCCTGCCATGCCACCACTAACTTGATATAGATCTCACGATGACTTCATACCTACATTTCCCTCCATCCTAGCAAAGTCCAGGAGTTTTCAGGGCTTCGGGTGAGTGCATGTGGAGCCTGACTCATCTGCAGAGGTATCTTCTCAGGCTAAGCAGCAACTTTCGGGAAGAGGCCCTACCTAGTTCGATAGGTGTGGAAAGAGCTACTGGTTCTACCCTTGTCCCCTGAGTTCCTATAACAAAGGGCTCCTGGCGTTGTTTTTATCTCTCAAACTTCCTCTATCTCTGCTCCTTCAAAAGAATTTATTCACCTAGCGATCCAACTGAATTATTAGAATTGTGTCTGGATAAGAACACATGGCCCCAGGAACTTTAAGAGGTGATAGAAGGGTCTAGGACCTTTAAAGTAATAAGCAACAATGAACCTATCCAGCAAATGGTCTGTGGAGAGGTGAGATGTTTAAAGTGCAGTGGAAAAAAACAGGTTTAAGAGCCAGCCATACTTAGATTAATATGCTTCTTACCAGCCATGTGGTTTTAGATAAGGCATTTATCCTGAGTCTCAGTTATCCTTTCTGGAAAGAGAGGATAATGATGCCTACTTTGATGGGAGGCTTAGAGGTCATATATGTAAATTCCCTAGAATTTTAGTGGTAAAGACATTCTATGGAGCATTAATAAGGTAAAAAGCAGTACTGCCCAACATGGGAGGAGGTGGCTGGGCCAACCTCCAGTGGCTGTGAAATCTGTATATCTGACTTTGAGACATTTCTAAAAGACTGTTTGGTCTGGGATACCAGCTTCAATAAAGATGAATGTGATGGCCAATGTTCTTTGGATGCCCAAGGAAGTCTACTAGGTTGATGGGGAGAAGAAAGACAGGGAGACAGACACAGCTGTTCTGCAATAAGATGGGACCTGTCATTGTGTGACTGGGAAAAAACAAAAATAAGCCATATAACAGGTCCCTGCTTTACCAGGTGGAGTTGTAAACTAGAATTATACCTAATTGCCCATGAAACAACAAATCAATGGCTGAAGATTTGTTACTATGGCAACCATTTTTTGTTCAGCACCTAGCCACTATTTAGAGGCTACAACAGGAGCTGGATAGGGAAGTAATTAGATATACCAAGTGCAAATGCATATAATCTACTGGTGAAATAGGGCAATTGACAAAAGGAGCCTGTTAAGACAGTTCTTTTAAAACTTGTATGTGTCTCAACAAAGATTCCACACATGCCGACTGATGCTAAAAAAAGAAATCTTTGGTTCAGTTGGAAACAGACCATACAGTCAGAAGGTGAAAAGTATAGATCTTAGGCCCAGGGAGAGCTCTTGTCAGAAGCCAGGGACTACCAGAGTCTTACCTAGAATTTCTCTATTTCCTCTCCTATGATTTGGAAATCCTCTTCACCAGAAACAGCAGCCCTCAGGTATCCTTTAGCAACCATTTAGACACAATATCTAGCAACCTGTCTGCAATCAGCATTTCCAGGTCTGAGTTGAACTGAGATTTTTCTTTATTCTTCTAAACGGAGTGAAGTTACTTCTAGGCCAGAGACAACCTACAAAAAAACCACTGAGGCAATTCATCCAGAGGGAACCCCTCCGCACATTATCCCATCCACCACACAAAGCCCTGCTACTTTCCTCAGCATGCCTGGAATGATTCAGGGCTTCAGCCATCAAAGATCATTAGCTCAGAGAAAAAAAGCACTCTTGGGTCCTTCATTCTTCTTTCTGTAGCTAACACTATTTCCCTGGGCAACTTCACCCACCTCCATGGTATTTTCCTTTTATGTTTATCTTCCAATTACAGAAGAAGTTTCCCCCATGGTTTAAACTATTTCCCATACTCCAACGACTCATAAATCTATATCTCTAGACCTGATCTCTCTCTGGAACTTTAGACACTCTTTCCTGCCCCCCACCCCCATCTCAGTTGTTTGCTGGACATCTTAACCTGAGTATTCTACAGGCAGTTTAGACTTGTGGAATATCCTCCTCCTGTCTCAATAGGTGGCACCAGGTAGTGATCAGCAGGCGGTTTAAACTGCCAGACGTACCTAATGAGTCGGCCATTTCTCAACAAAGATCATGAAATAATCAAGAGGCGTCTATGAAATCTTGAGCATGACTGAGTAAAACTTTAAGGCTAAATAAATGTAAAGGGTTAGGAGTGGAGGTTAGAAAATCCACCCTAACAATATTTATTCAAGTGTATGGCTACTAAAAAGGTTGAGACATTTAAAGGGGGAAAAAAAACAGTAAGGATGAGGAAATCGCAAGGAAAATCTGACCAGCAAGAAGAACTAGAAAAAGTTTTGTGCAGGAGAATGTCATGCAAATGTGGGCAAGAGACCCTGGAAAGTACACTTGTGAAAGTGACTGAACTTTGAGAGCACCAAAGAAGAAGATTCGGTCTTAGGACAGTAATAAAGGCTGCCCTTTTTCTGTCTCAGTTTTCCTATCTGTAAAATAAGGGACTTGGACTAATTTTTTTTCCAGCTAATTCATTTTTTAACTTTTATTTTGAAATAATTATAAATTCACAGGATGTTAGAAGGATAGTACAGAAAGTTATACTCTTCACCCAGTTTCCCTCAATGGCTTACATAACTATAGTATAATATCAAATCCAGGAAATTTATATTGATTGGTACAATGCAATGTGTGTGTGTGTGTGTGTGTGTGTGTGTGTGTGTGTGTGGTCTATGCCTTTTTATCACGTGTAGATTCATATAGCCACCACAGCTATTAAGATACAGAACTATTCCATCACTCAAAGATCTCCCTCATGCTACTCCTTTATATTTACAGCCATACCTACTTTCCCCACCCACCATCCCTAGTCCCTGGCAATCACTAATCTGTTCTCATCTCTGTAATTTTGTCATTCCAAGAATGTTATATAAATAGAATCATAGAATATGTGACCTTTTGAGACTGGTTGTTTTTCACTCAGCATAATGCCCTTGAGATCCATCCAAGTTGCTGCATCTATCAGTAGTTCATCGCTTTTTATTGCTGAGTAGTATTTCACGGTATGAATGTACCACAGTTTATTTAATCATTCATATATTAGAGGACAGTTTGGTTGCTTCCAGATTTTGGGTATTACAAATAATACTACTATTAACAATTGTGTAGAGGTTTTATGTGGACATAGTTTTCACTTCTCAGGGATAAAATGCCCAGGAGTGCAATTGCTGGGTCATGTGGTAAATGTATGATTAGCTTGCTTTTACTTTTTTTAAAAAAAGCTGTTTATTGGTTAATGTTTACTTGTAAATGAAGTTATACATTCACATGGTTTAAAGTGTT